ATTTTATAGATTTCATTTCTTTCACTTTTTTTGGAAATTTAGCTTTTTATCCATAAAAATAGTTTACATTCATTATGTGTTTAACATGCACCCAGTACACGATAATCCTATGTAATATTTACAATGATTCACATCGGCATAACTATTATATCCCCATTTTTAGACATGAACAAACTAAGCACAGAGAGATTTTTGCTCTTTTCCCTGGATCATACAGTTTGTAGTTTATGGAATTATAATGGAAAACCAAGCTGTTTGATTCTGGGTAGTATATGCTCATCTGTCTCAGGCACAGCACTAGTTACAGGATAGAGGGATATAGTAATGACTAAATAACATACAAGTTTTATGAAGCTTCCAGTCTAGTGAAGACAGACAAACTGAAACAAATATGTAAGATATATAATATGCCAAGTAGTGGATGAGAAATGCAATAAAGAAAAATAAATAGAAAGTTGAAAGGAAGGGACAGGCAGGAGACAAGGTATTTAAGATGGAGTGGCCAGGATAGGTCATTTTGATAAAATGATATATTTAGAGGGAAAAATCTTACGAGCTCAAAGGAGATTTGAAAAATCACAAAGAAATATTTGTAGTATTTAATACTCTGACTCTAGACTCAAACAGATACAGGTGTGAGTCCCAGCTCTATAAGCTCTTAGCCATGGGACCTGAGTAAATAATTCCCCCTTTGATGACGCTTTTCCCCTTCAAGGAAATTATCATAAAGAATAACTAGGCAAGTGAGCACATATTATGTATAATATGTATTGAAGCATTCTTTATAATGACAGAAATTGATAGCCTGAAACATCTCATTATGTTATTACTTAGACAAGTTGTGCTATGGACCTATAATGGAGTATTGTTAAATCACATATAATAACATAGCTTCTTAGTCGTACACACCAAAACATAGTAAATCTATATTTACAAACATGGGACGATAGTCACTATGCATGTGTTTATAATAGGCATACATTTGAAGAGAAGAAAAGATTAGCAAAACAAGTATTTAAATATATAGAGCAAGTTAGTTGGATTTGTTGGATTGTGGATTTTCTTCTTTTGATTATCAATAATGCAATTTGTATTAGCAATGAACATATAATATTCTAACAAAAATATAAATGAACATGAAAGTTAATCTCTCTTCTCAAAAGATTTATTAATTAACACTTAAAAAAATTCTTTAAGCTTTGGAGGGATAAACTTTGCTTCATCCCATCAACTGTAAGCATTAGCTTTGTAGTTGTTTCCATCAGCCATCCTCTAACTGTGAACATAATGCTACCTGAAATCAATTTTATATGGAGATATAAAACTGAACAATGTAATGGTAATGATTGTCTTTTCTTGTCCTTAAAATGGTGCAAAATGATCAATGTTTCCTAGATTATTATAATTAAATAAAAACAAGTACAGAAAATTGTACTGAATGAACAAGTGCATTTGATGAGAAAGTGGTATTTTAAAGGATTCAATTTCTATATTGCAGCCACCAATGAACATACACTCCATTGTGGTGCAAGTCCAGTGCAT